TTTGCAACCCGGCAGTCCACAAGTGGCGCAGTCTCCTACTTTCGGATTAAAGCAAATCGAGCAACTCTCTTCCTCGCCCCACTTTGCGGGCCGTGGCTGCGGCGCAGCCCTCACCTTCAACATTGGCGGCATCACGCTGACCGCGGTCGTCGAGTCAGACTGGGCCTGCGCGGGCGTTGCGCTGGACGGCTGGGCCGCCGGCGATGGCCGTCTACTCGCCCCTGCCGGCTTGGCCGGTGGGCGCGCACTGTCGCTCAACTGCGCGCGCTGAAGAGATGCTCTGGCGTTCTCATGTAATTTAAGCTCTTCTCGATATTGATTATTCTGATCAATCATCGTCGCAGCTACAACCTGGGCGTTGGCCGCTTCCAGCCTGGCAGTTTGAAGTTGTTCTTGGAGCTCCTGTCTCTCTCGTGCAGGCTGTGGCGATCCTCTCTCCTTCTATTCTTGCCGCCGCAACAGCAGCGGATGCGGTCGTGGCATCACCAGACTGACTGTTTGCCGTCATAACGGCTTGTCGTTCTGAGGCTATCATCTCAGCATATATCTGTCCTCGGCTTCTTCGTCAGCCGCGCGCTGCTTGGCAGCCGCGGTTTGGTGGGGCATCTGTTCCGCCAGTTCTTGTTCCCGCTCTCTGACCGCCTGGGCCATTGCGAGCCTCTCAGCCTCGAGCGTTCTCCGAACGTCCTCAACGACTGCATTCATTTCTTCTGTCCAGTCGGGCTTTCTCGGCCCGCTGGGCTTCGCGGGCCAGAAATGATTGCTGTTTTGGCCTCAACAAATCTAGCCTGATTTTGCATCGGCTGGGTGAGAAGGCACGAGCAATTGTGCTCTTCCATCGGCATGCAGTCTACACGCAACCACTGATTGCTACAATTCGGGCACACATCTGAGCAATTTCTACATGCTGGGCGCCTACAGGCTCCATTCGGCTTGCGGGCTTTCCCGGGGCACCTGTTCTCCGCCTGGGGCGGGCAGTTGGGGCTCCAGTTCCAGCATGTCTCACGCGTGGATATCGCGCTGTTGCTCCTCGAAGTGGATCGAGCTCCAGATCTGGGTATCTTGGGCCTTCCCCGGCTCGAAGCATTCGATCTGGGACGTATGTGCGTACTCTCTGGCGGTCTAGCCGCATCTCGAAGCCCCCCGCCCCTCTCGTCTTGTCTAACCAACTCATCCAGCGAAGCCGGGGGGGGTGATCATTTCATCATCCTCAACTACAACGGGTATCGATGGTTGCCAATCGCCTGCGGCGACGGCAGCTCGATGAAACCATTCCTGAAGCGGGGGATCATTCAAATCATAATCCTCGTTCTTTTGCTTCTTTGAGTTGAGGAGCGGGAGTTCGTCCTGTGATCTCCCGGCCACGTTTCGCTTTAGTCTGACATTCCATTTCCATCTCGACCGCCTGGGGCGTCAGGTCACCTTCTCAATGTTGGAGTCTGGTATTGCAGAAGCTTCCCCGAGGGCTTCCACTTGATCGTAATCAATTGTATCCTGCCCAGGGGGCCACCTCTCGTCTTGGACGGGGTGGTCTGCATCCATTATCGAGGACAAATCTCGGCCAAGTGACACTTGAAAGTTGGCATACTCAATGTCTTCCTCCATGGAGTTAATATCGTTTCCATCATCAAACTGTTCATCACTGTCTTGGCCGGTCTGTCCGTTCAGGGCTATCGGGATGGGATGAGTCCCTTGTGCGTTTCCCCATCCGTCTGGGGCGGCGGGGCACATGCCTCTGGACCCTTCAGCTTCTCCCGACCCACTGGCTTGGCCAGCGGCCGGCACAATAGTCCGCATAGCAATCGGGCTGGAGTATATTGTTTCCGAAGATACGGCAATTAACGACGAGAGTGCTCCTCGTCTTATCTTTGCTGTTGTGCCGTCCCGCCTCGTCGGGTCGGGGGTCTGTTCACGATCACCGATCGGGATTCGAGAGGGAGAATCGTCTCTGGACAAATCTATAACATCTCCACTGCTCCTCCCACGAGAGACCCGAGTGGCGATAGAAGAAGAGGGAGGGCGGCCCCTCCCCGGGCCGCCGTCCTGTGATTCTTGCCCGTCATGTTGTACAACCTGTGATGCGAGCTCGGCTCTGGCGGGCAATTCGGCTGCCTCATCAAAGCTCATCCCTGTTGCGACTTGGTCGCGGGTTTCGGCTGATAACCAGTCTTTCCTCTGAGAATCGGGGTAAGATGACAAAGGAATTAAGGTCTCATGTTGACTCTGCTCAGTAGTAGAGGATACGGGATGAGACATCGATGGAACTACAAGTAACCGTTAAGCAATTGTACTCAAGAGTGGGAAGGGAGGAGGCCGGCCGGCCGACGACCGACGACACGCGGCGGCCGAGGGCAGGCGCGCTCCTTTTCTACCCTGTAAGCACAAATAGCTGCGGTGCAAAGCCGCAGTGTCAGGGTGTAGCAAGGAAGGCAGCGAGAAAGGCAAGTGTAAGATGAGGCGGAGAGGAGCATATTTATTAGATGTCCTGACACATGTTCCACATGTATGCTACGATGAACGTCAATGATGCCGATATTCGGTTACTGGTGTCGGTTGCTGTGTTATGTTCTAAACTGTTGTGTTCTTTCTGTATGGTATTGGTGTGTGTATGTGTTCGTGGTGGCCGCTCTCGGTGTATGGTCTTGATGCCAGGGGCTTGTGGCTGCTCCTCATGTGTGCCAGTGATACCCGCCTTGATGTATCTTACCGGCGTCTGCTCTTGATATCAATTCTTGATGTCTGGCTATTGCTATTTTCCGGGTTGATGTCTGTTGTCCATGTTTGTTGCTGATGTATGTTTAAGACGGGTGGTCTGTTCATTACAAACTGCGTGCGTCATTGCTGCATGTTATTGATATGGGTTCTTGGTGTATGTTCTTGGTGCATGTTCTTGATAGCTGGCCTTGACGTCGGTGAAGTATGTCTGCTCGTGATGGCTGTTAGTGATTCCTGTTGCTGACGGGCCACGCCTGGTACGTATGTCATCGGTGCGTGTTACTGCTGTATGTCCTAGATGTATGTATGTAATGGGTGTTGTTACTGTTTGCTCGTGGTGTATGGCAATGCGGAGCTCTGTCTCGTATGTTATTCACGTCTGCTCTTGCTGTATGCTGTTGCTGCGGGTTCTTGGCGTCTGGATGGAATAGCCGCCTTGGTGCGTTCCTGACGGATGGTATTGACGAGCGTTCGTCCATCCTTCGGAGCAGGATTCTCAAGGCGGGCTTCTCAAATATCGCTCGGAGGTGCCATGGGCCTGGCGGCCGCGCCATGCAGGGCTGCCTTCCCTACGATCTGACACCCTCCCCGCGTGTCGGGCGGGGAACTCCACCGCTGCTCCCCCTTGGAGGCGTTCAGAAACAAGATGTGCTTTCATGATGGGTCCTGTTTTAAGGAAGGTCACAAAGTCCATCACTGCGCAGGTTGGTCATGTGTATGCCTCCAGGAGGATGGGGAACCTTTTGCTATAATCTCGGGCAAAGTAGGGGCCAAGCTGCCACAGACGAGTCCTGCTTCGGAGCATGTTGGGTTTTTGGCCAGTTGCAAGTATGCGAGCTCGGCGTCAGAATTCTGCACGGACTACAAAGGGCTCGTGGCCGTGAACGAAAGGCCCCTGGAAGTTGTTTCTGGCAGAAGGTCGTAGTATGCTGGACCCGTTCTCCCTGCTCTGAGCCACCTGCCCAGAAAAGACGCTCTTGCTGTCACAAAAGTGAAAGGTCATCAGAGTGCTGATTGTTTTGAGCCGTTCTCTGTGGACTGGTATAAGGCTAAAGGCAATCATCTGGGCTGATGTGGCTGCTAAGGCGGCTGCGATGACCCATTCCCGTCCGTCGGAGAACGAGCTTTTTGAGTTTAGTTTAGACACGTCCAGCCTCAGGAGTTTTCTGATTTACGCGGCCAAAGCCCTGTTGCTTTGGTCAAGTCTTGCGCCAGCCAGGCCCAGCAGCCGTCTGGGAAGGGTAGGCGCCCCCCGCGCTGGTGCTGCCAGTGCCGCCGCTGCTGGAGGCAGTGCCGCCCGTGCCGCCACCGTCAGCGCCGCCGATGAGGTGCTGGGCGTGGCTGGCCGGGGAGATCCAAGTTCCTCCCCTCCCCCTCGGGGTGCCCCCCCTCCTCCTGCCCCCGCCTCCGCTGGGGCCCCTGTGGGCCCGTCCACTGCTCCTTCTGTTGGAGGGGCGCAGGCGCCCCAGAGAAGGGATCGTGGCCACGAATTCAGGTGGATTCGCGGTCTGTGGGCTTGCACGCGATGTCTAGCTCGTGTGCGTTCGGACCCTCCGCAGCCCGCTGCGGACTGTCTAGGTTGCAACCCTGTGCTGTGTGCCCTTGTGCAGGAGCCTCAGGGGCACAAAATCCACCTGACGGGTACCCCCGACGAAGTCACCCTCTTCTGCTGCATGGACTGTGGCAGTGTCTCCGACGGAGTTAGGCTTGGTGGGATGGCGAAGGCCTGCAAGGGCGGGCCTTCCTCCAACCACACGCGTAGCAACCTCTCTCGGCTTAGAAGAGGCATCCATCCCAATAATAGGGATGTGTTGCTTGATGAGCTTGTGCCTCTTGCGGACTTCACCTGTGCTGTGGACGGCGGTGGTTCGGCTTCGACTGGTGAGGTGGGGAGTTAGTCGCTGGCGTCCTTCCTTCCTGGGGTAGGGCTGCTAGTGAATTCCTCTCTTTCTTGCTGGTCTTAGCCTTTGCGATGCAACGTGTCAAATCAAACCGCTGCTCCCCCAAAACGCGCTTCGACAAGACATCCGAGGAGCGAATCCGGGCCGTGGCCACGCGGGCCCCCCGCACGAGGCCCAGAACCGCGGCCAAGGGTGGACATCGGGTAACTCGGTGTGCGTTGCTCGGGGATGGACAGACCTCCCTTTAGTAAAACGTGCTTAGTGAAAACGCCCTGAGGCCCAAACCTGGCGGGCGCAGACCTGGAAAATAACGGCCACTGCGCCCTCTCGAGAACCGAAAACGGACAATTCACTAATCGACGTGTCACTGTTGGGGGTTCTGTC